TGCAAAGAATGTACAGTAGTTCAACACAAGTTACTGTGACTACGTCCTTCTTCTTGGTTTTGGTCTTCACTGTCCCAGCAATGGGAGTAAGAGTCTTTGATTTGACTACCGCTATACTGGCATTGATAGCTGTCGCGATATTCTACTGGAGACTTGGAAAAAAAAGAGTTAGATATCAATGAGAAACACATACTATGGACCAGGTCTGATCATGATGAACTGAAGGTGCTCATTGAGGTAAGGATCTCGAGATTCCCAATACCTTCAATAAGAACTACTGGGGTCGTGTGGATGGAGTGAATCCGAGTCTCGGGCGGCTATGTGCTGGGTTTTGTGTGAGAGCAAGCTTATGCGATTCATTTTATGTAAGGTAGAAACTCCTTTCCATCTAGCGCTTCCATCTAGCTTCCAATATCGACGTCGATGTTGAATGGTGTACGTGTTTTCCGAGTCTTCTCCTTCTCGGACAGGTCCATTGTGCAGAAGACCTTCTCTGTCTCGACCCTTCCGGATAGGACTGTACACCATTAACGGATAAGCTTCAAGGTCTATTAGATCCCGTTCATGGAACTAGCGATACGAGATTATTATCAGCCATTTTGAGTGTCGAGTGGGAGAGCAGTGCATCATACCAGACATGCTAGTACAGGCTTTTAGGCCCTAGTGCTCCACGGATTCATACTTGCTGCTTGCAAGGGCATCGTTCTCCGTACCATTTGCCAAGTCCCTCGGATGACGGGTATGCCGACACTAAAATCCTCACTAACCTCAAGGCTCAGACCCGCGTCCCCCATCCAGCCTCCTGAAACTCGACATCTATACGTCAAACGGGCGAAGAGGCCATGTCTGACTGATGAGGTGGAGGACAAAGTGCACGCAATTCTCTGTTGTGAAGGTGACCCGGACCTCGTGTACCTGCATAACATCTTCATGTTATTGGTACTTCCGCTGCTCCCGGATGCCTCGCTATGGCATACTAGACACACAGAACAGGCGTTTCTCTTTCGTTTGATCTTTGATGAGCGGCTACTTAAAATCGTTGCAAGTTTATATACAACGTTGAACGTATCTTCTGCTCACGAAGAGTTTATGTCCCTCCCCCTATTATGTACACCCAATAGAATCTCCCTTATGGTTTTAGGTTGAACTACGTCGCGGTTGAGTACGTGTCAGTATCATTATGTGAGCAACTCGGGTTTGATTGTGGTGTTGTCCGACGCAGCCCTTCAAGGTTGTGATCCCAGCTCCACTACGATTAAACCTGCACGGCACGCATTGATGCCATGCGTGTTGCGTGCACCCCGGCCGTATCCTTAACGGGTCCCTGATGCCGGTTCCTCCTCCTCCTCCTCCTCCTAATTGGTTTCACCCTCCTTTTTCCGGATCGCTTGCCAGGATATAAAGACAGCATGGATCAGGGGGAGTGACAAGTGCGAGACATCCTCCTTCCAATTTATTATCATCTCAACCTCGACGCCGATCTCAACCGTGATGTATCGTGTACCATTGCTTGCTTGTCTCTCTGTTATCGCCTTTTTGTCTCAATCCGCATCCGCTTCGCCTTCTGGCAATAACAACCTTCTTCACGCGAGGCAAAACGCTGATAATGTGGTCTATGTAACTGATGCAGAGACTTTTTGGTGCGTAGTTTTTTTTATACTCGATCTGCTCTAAGTAATGGTTCTCGTCGTTTGTTCGCTTTCTCTTTGAAACTATACTATAGTATGATCATGCCTCGGTAAGCCCTTCACTCCCTCTCTCTCCACCGATAATTTAAATCGTGTCGTATTATTCTTTAAAGGGACGCCCACACCGATATCGGAGACAGCGAGCACCCCGGTGGAATGAAGACCTACTGCTCACCTAACGGAAAATTCTCCTCTGCCCAAGGAGAAACTCCCTGGTAACTTCTGGAGTCAAGTCGATTTCCAGACTGGGACTAGTTCCCGAGGGGCACGGTTCGCTCAATGTGAGTTTTACACTAAACAACTCTTTTTTTATCCACGTCATCTTAATTTCTTCCCCGTTAGTGACTGGTTGCATAAGACCTGAACTCGTGGATCGTTTGAACACAAACGACGGGGGAGGTCAGTACGATTCCAGTGGAGGTGCTAATGGTCAAGGTAATCCTGAAGGAAGCGTTTGCCTTGGGTACGCCTTTCGTCTCTCATCTCCGTTGGCTGTAGGTACTCATCTATCATATGTAGTTATAACCACTATGTCGAACTGGTCGAACCGGCTGCAAACCGTGCTTGCATCAAGTGTTGCGATAACTTTGACGATTGTCCAGTTGACAAGGGTAAGTGATTCCTAAAGGGAAATCTACAACTTGGACTTATATACCAATGGTTCGTCATTCTAGATACACAAGGATGTCCCGATGTTATCAGTGGAAACTACTTTAACTGTAACTGAAAGTTAAGATAGGTGGACATTATCTGACTTGGACATTCACAATGGACTGTATTTGCACCACACTGACTTTGAGGTCTACCTCGGCTATCTAATGCGGACAATGTAATACGGACACTGAAATGTTTAATTATGAGTAGTAATGTAATGAGATTTCATGATTCCGAGCTATGTTCCTTCAAGAAGAGAAACAAGCTTCTTAGGTCGTGACCACAATCAGAAATCTTTCAAGTTGTACTGTGACTAATTCCGGTTGCAATTGCTCTTTTCCTTCTAACCTCACAAGCGCTATACAAGTCTTTTCCTTAAACATGCGACGCTCACTGTTACGCCTGGCGGAATCCGTAACCTCAAGACCATTAAAACTCCAAGAATCGAAAGGGTCCCTACTTCCTCCGATACCGTACGTTTCCGAGTCCCGAGTGTCCGACAGTGAGAGAGTATCAGTGTGTGCTGACTGAACTGTTAATTTAGGTTGTATCGAAGACTTCTGAGGGCACATAGACACCTAATACCAGAAATGCGTTTGTTAGGAGATGACTACGTCAAAGCAGGTGCGCAATGACCCGAATGAGGGTTTTTGATTGTGAATACTCAAGTTTTCGCGTTTCCGCTGTGCAGAGTTTTCGCCGTCATCGAGAAGTAACAAACGCTGCCCAAGTTATTGGGTTTCTGTCGCAATGGCAAGCATACCTGAATCAGATGCCCAAAGGAGCTGGAGGAGAGGAGTTTAGAGGGAAGAAACTGGATCCAATCATGTACGAAAAGGTGTGTGGTTTGTGCCGGATACCTCGACCATGCCCGAGCCTGTGAAGCAGCACCTATTGACCCAACCGCAACTACTCTTTCTCCTGGTTTCTCAGATGTCCACAGAACAACTAGGGCAACTTTACGAACTCAAGAACGCGACGAAAGAAGTGTGGAAATCTCCCCAAGATCCGAAGGACTCTGAGGGTTCCTCATCATGACATCCTCACTGCTCCGAGTCTCGACATCTTTTCCCAACACTGTCCTTTTTCCCCCGTAGATTAAGTACTTCTACTAGAACTTCTAGTCATGCAATAAACAATCAGGCATGTTTCCCGTCCCGTTCGCCCCTCGTCCAATGACACACTTCGCTGATCGTTCGTGTGAAGGGATTGAGCTTATTCCGATTCAAGGGGGTTCCTACATTCTCCGGAACCTGCTAAGACTGAGTACCCGATATACCCGTCACGTTGTCAGCGAAGGAATTCCGGGATCCAGATTCTGATGTCACTTGACATCCGTGAGTCCCTATAAAGTCTAAGCTTCATAAAAGAGGGACAGTAGTTCACATCCACCCTATAACTCTATCGCACACAATGTCTCAAGCTGCAGTGAGTATAGTGCACGACGAATACTTTCAAAACATGCCGAATCATGACCGAAATCTTGTTCCAGATGGTTACGCGGATTTGTACAGACGTATACCGACAAACTCTGCTCCCGATGACTGAGCTTCCTGCCATCAACCAGCAGTTGTTTGAGGCCAAGGCCAAGAAAGGTATCGTGATCTACACTGTCCATGTGGAAACACACCACTCAAAACAACCCTCTATCAGGTCTGACTTTTGACGCACTTGCAAAAGAACTCGGAAAGGACGAGGTTTGGGTCGCTTCTGCGTTCTACGGGCAGGTGTGTAGTATATCCACGTTCATATTACAATAGGAAGTCGTCATTCAAAAATACACGTTAGGCCAAATTCACCGCCGAGGAGCTGCAGAAGTTGTCACAAGTTTTGGGGATCGACCAGAGTAGTTTGAGTGGTGCATTGGGAGAACATTGGTGGCCTTATCGTGGACTTGGTCCCACTCCTCCTTCGGACCCCGTTATCTATCGTCTATACGAGGTGCGTCTATGCGGTCGTTTTGTTGAGAAAATCTTGTCTGACTGCGTCCACATCTAAGGGTGTTATGGTTTATGGCCATTCGATCAAAGTACGCGTGGTCTGATTTTTCTTTTGCGTCTTGCCCTGGGAAGCTGACTCTTGCCTTGTTCTCCTACACTACCTTCTCAAGGCAGTAATTCATGAGAAGGTGCGTTAGCTTCTTCCGATACAGTCTATTTCCGTCCATTTGAACTAAAGAGGGTCTCTAGTTTGGTGATGGCATTATGTCCATGATTGATTGCAAAGTCAACATTGAGAAGAAACCCGACCCCAAAGGCGATCGTGTTCTCCTCACTTTTGAGTGCGTGTTACTTTCTATCGTTCTATGCATGCGTCTACTTGTGCTGCCGAGCTAATGTCCTTTTTACTTTTCGTCTGTAGCGGCAAGTTCTTGCCATACTCTAAATGGTAGAGGAACGCAGAACCATAGAGAAAAGGAAGAAAGAACTAAATATATGCGTGTGCATGTACCATATTATCATAAGAAACGGGCTTGAAGTTGTCATTAAGGGTGCCGCTCTCGAGCATTTCGAGCTGTAGTCATACGCAACACAAATAATTAAGGTCGAGTTCATGCCCACAGAGTTCTGACGAAGTACATTAAGCATTAAAGTGCTTTCGGTTCGGAAGTCTTCATAGTAAAAGCGAGAAAACTTTCACGAATTTGTCCCAATTGTATGGGGGTACCGCGGATCGAACGCGGGACCTTCAGAATACCAAAGTCTCATAGTCCTTCAGTCTGCTGCTCTCCCAGCTGAGCTATACCCCCATGGCAACCTAGTGCAGATACTTTTGCTCTCGTTTCTTTTGGGCGCTTGGTCAAACTTATCTAGCTACTTAAATTACAAGAAGTACCATCTGCCCTTGTTTTGTTTACTTTAAGTGCAAACATGGTTTCCATTCTATCAAATTCTTGTTCTTGTTATCATGACTATTACTTTCCTGGAGTGAAAGGTTTGACGCTCCTATCGCATCAAAGGAATACCACCTAGGTTCATCGAAGGATGGGAATTAAGTAAGTATTGACATGAACACAACCTATTCATACGTATGGGCGTCCTGAATGTTTTCTGTCACACTCGGAATGAATTCTTAGTAGCCAACTTATAAAAATCTCATCATGAAGATTCCGCCAGATCCCTCTTTTGACCCTCGCTCTTTGCTAAAGCTTCCACCACCACGATGCCCAATCAATCCTGGATCTCATGCTGGTTTCTTCTCAGTAGTGCGATCACGTTTTGGGATGCGGGGTATTGTCTTATGAGGTGCGAGAACGTGTTTTCCTAGTTGTTGTCCATCTGGTTGATTCAGTTTGAGATAGGCCACGTTCGATGGAAGGAGGGGACTTACATTGGCTGTGGAAACCCTATACATTGTATGGGCAAATGGACTATGTCAGTTTGTTTCATATTAGACCCACGACGTCGATGTAACATGTGTTCATACCATGCCTCTTTGACTTGTAGGTTTATAGTGTCGAGTCTTATGAAAAGGGCGAAGGTTTTGCATCTGCTGGAGGTATCTACTAATCGCACTATGGTTGTTACCTTTCTTTAACGAATCGTTCGGATAGCTGTCATGGCTGTCGTAGAAAACTTGACCGCTGTGCGTGACTGTGTTTCCTTCCGATCTTATCCCACATACGTCTTTTCTCTTACATTTTCATCTTAGTATACGTATCTTTACCTCGTCCATGTCGCCAACTCAGATCTTGCACCTCTTATTGGATACAGCGCTGCCATCATGACGATGGCGAAAACCGTTGTTCATGTGGGGCAGGAGCTTTTTTGTGGTCTGTGCGGAATTGGACACAATGATGTTTCAACTATGATCTCTTACTGGGTTCTACCTAAGGCGTGCGCAAACTTTTCATTAGAGCTTTTCTGATTTCTGATGGGCTGACGTTATGGCAGATTGTGGTTCACTGTATCGTGCTTAATTATGTTCAGCCTCGGGAAAGATATCTACTCGAGCTTGCGAAATAATAAACTCAAAACTCAGTGATCACCATAAGCGCTGTGTACTAGTTATTGATCTCGAGCCTACTTGACTAGGAAAATACACATTCGTAAGTTTTTGACTTCGCATATTGCTCTATTTCTGTATGATCATTGATGCCAGAAGAAATTATAGTGTAAAGATACTCATATGCATTTTCAAAACATTTCTGACTTCGTGAGGATCGAGCTAATGTTATGTTCACTTTTCGTCTGTAGCGACAAATTCTTGCCATACTTACAATGGTAGAACGAGGGATGTGAAATATCGGTTGTATAGAAGGAAGAAAGAATTAAGTATACGTAGGCATGTATAATATTGCTACGTCTGAAGATAAGTCCATCTGTCGTTAAGAGTGCCATTTCAAGCTGCAATCATACGCACGATTTTTTCAGCACGAGTACTTCGAAGTTCACGCCAGCAGGGTCCATATTCCGTTAGATGACTGACAGGGCTCATTGAGCTTCAAAGTCTTTTGATTCGCAAGTCTTTATGGCAAGACAATAAAATCTTAGTTCGAATGACTATTAGGGGGTACCGCAGATCGAACGCGCATTCAGAAGTCTGCTGCTCTTACGGTTCCGCGCAACTACGACAGTGACAGTTAAGGAACTTTTTTGTCTTCCTCGTCTCTTTGGGTGTTCGATCTGTCGGACACTACAAATCTAGAGGCTGAATCTCAAAATGCCACTTACAACTTGAAGGTAGAGCCATTTATCCTTGATTCAACTGCATGCGCAGGTACGTCTTTGATCATGCTCCTACTCTACTTACGACTTCTGGAGTGAAAAAGTTCGACGGTCTTATCGTATCAAGGAACATCAACTTGTTCATCAAAAGACGACAATCGAACATTTCGATTAGCCCAGAACATTGACATGAACACAACGTATTCAGTATGGGCGTCCCGTCACGATCGGAACGAATTTTCAGCTAAATTGGGAAATCCGGATCCCTCTCTCACTCTTCGCTAAAGCTGCTACCACCACGAATGGCTAACAAATCCTGGATCTCATGGTGGTTTCTTCTCAGTAGTGCAGTCACGTTTTGGGATGCAGGGTATTGTCTTATGAGGTGCGAGAACGCGTTTTTATAAATGTCGTCGTCCACCTGGTTGATCCAGCTTGAGATAGGCCGCGTTCGATGGAGGGAGGGGACTTGTACTGGCTGTGGAAACCCTACACGTTGTATGGGCAAATAGACCATGTCAGTTTGTTTCATATTGGACCCACGACGACGGTATACATGTATTCACACCATGACTCTTTGACATGTAGGTTTATAGTGTCGAGGCTTATGAAAAGGGCGAAGGCTTTGCGTCTGCTGCAGGTGCGTACTACACGCATTATGATTGTCACCTTTCTTTGAACAAATCGTTCGGATAGCTGTCATGGCTGTCGTGGAAAACTTGACCGCTGTGCGTTTCCTTTTCCAACCTTATCCCACATACCTCTTCTTACATTTTCGTCTTAGTATACATATTTCTACCTCGTCCACGTCGCCAACTCGGATCTCGCACCTCTTATTGGATACAGCGCTGCCATCATGACGATGGCGAAAACCGTCGTTTATATGGGGCAGGAGCTTTTTTGCGGTCTGTGTGGAATTGGACACAATGATGTTTCAACTATGATTCTTACTGGGCTCTACCTAATACGTGCGTAGATTCGATGTTTATTTATTCCATCATGGCTTTCTGATTTCTGATGTGCTGGCATTATGACAGATTGTGGTTCACTGTATCGTGGTTGATTATGTTTAGCCTCGGGAAAGATATCTACTCGAGCTTGCGAAACAGCAAACTCAAAACTCAGTGATCACCACAAGCGCTGTACCAGACGTCGATCTCGGGGCTTGACTGAAAAACTATAGTGTAACGATGCTCAGTATGGATTTTCAAACTATCTCTGACTCCTCCAAGACATGATATGATCGTATCTCCGATTGAGCTCTTTAATTCCCTTTATCAAAGATTCAGTTCAAGATGATACGATGCCGCCCGTGTTTTGCACTAGAAGTCTAAATCCTTAAGTTGAGCGTTCAATCGGTACGTATTCCATTTACTGGAATTTGGAACAAAGTACGTAAAAACATGCAATGATCCCGTTCAGCCTAAGAGTATACGAGTATAGTATTCTTAACAAGAACTAGCAAAACAAAGATCAATCCCACTGGCCAGCTCCGTGGAGGCAATAACCTGAGCTTGGGACTGAACACCTTGTGTGATCATTGTCCAGTCTGATCACCAACGCTCTCCCAGAACCTTTCACCAAAAAAGAGGTCAACTGTCAATCGCTCAAACCAATCACACATTACGCACCTGCATCTCTCCAAAGCCCTTGATCCGTCGAATGCTCATGAATATCCGGAGCACTTCCATCTTCCGTCCTATTGAACACCATCTCTTGACGACCCAGTAATGGAATATACCTGTCCCACCGAGGCGCAATATTCGTCTGATCGAATTTGTCATTAGGATCTAGAGACATTGCGAATGCTAGGAACGACTGAGAGAATGCTTTGATAAAATCCGCGTTTCGGAAGCCTGGGGTTCGATTTCTGTGTCATTGAATCAATCAGCTAGGTTGCCCCTTACGAGAAGGCATGTAGATTAGATTATAATGTACTTACGATTGCCAGTAGTAAGATTGATCAATGCCGTGAGTAGCGGGCGGGATTGCAAATTCTCCCTGGTTAAGTAGTAGTTAGAAAGAAAGAATGCATGACTGCTTTAGGCAGATTCAACGTACCTTATATGAATGGAGAGGGAAAGCATTCAACAGATAGTCGGGCAGATGAAAACAGCTAGAGACATAATATTTGTCGTAGTTAATCATGAATAGATCGGCTACAGATCAAGTGATACTTCCATACCTTCTCCTACAATCCTCTCGACCTGATTCAGCGGAGTTCCTAGTCCAGCATACAGCCTCGTAACCTCCTGTCGTTGTTGTGGTTCAAGATTCGGAAAGAGCCGTCCTACGTAGGAAGTGGTATTGAGCGGAGGTTGATTGACAAAGCTGACGCCTTCATTTGTATTGATCACTCCTAGGTAAGCTTGCTATATATGGAGAAAAAAGAATGATCAGCTTTTTTCATCTATCATCTATTTATTATTCCTGTTGCGAAGATACCCACACCATTGGCTTTCCCTTCCCTTAACGCTACGGATGCACGTTGAGTGATGAAGGTTCCGTCAACTACAGGTGCAAAGGGATAAACGCCACGAAAAGCGTTGCCGTCGATTCGAGTTTCGACCGCTTTGAGCGTGTTTGCATTAGCTCTTCGCAAGCAAGCTAATGTGTCAGAAGCTGAAGCACAACTAATAGGGAAAGAATCATTTAGTTTTGTGAGAATGATTTTTCGAGAAAAACAACGGACTTGGCCTGGTTAACAACTTGGTTGTACGTAGCCTGGGGTTGATATGGCGTGAAAGAGTGCTTCACATTTATACGAAGATTACTTGAACTTGCTTACCTCTGGAATCTTATCATTGTACTGGTATTGCGAAGGTAGAAATGTTGAACTAGAGATTGCAGCTCTGAAAAGCTGAGGTCGGGTCCGCCCATCCTGCGCTATGACCTGTTGAAGAACAGAGCCTGCGCCTGTACATCGAAAGATTGAATATTCGTGACCGGATCGATAGTATCTTGTCAGTGAAAGCGGGCAAAACTCACCAGCGCTCTCGCCCCAGATTGTGACTTTCGAAGGATCGCCTCCAAACTTGGATATCTGTCCCAAAGCCCAAGTAAGTTGTGTTGGAGATCAGTC